ATAGATGAATAATTTATATATGGTATATAGATGGCGTACTCATGTACAACCTTTTGAACTCGTATTCAGCAGCGCCTCTGTAGTTTGGACGCTAAATTAAATAGATAGGCTGAATTCACCAATCTAAGAAACCATAGATCTGTATTTGTTATTATTATATTTTTCTTTTAAATAACGGAAACCATAGATCTGTAAACCACGTACTCAAATTAATTTTATAGTAGTTATTTTTATTTATAAAATCAAACAGGTTTAATGGATTTGGATTAATTTTATATTGCTTTAAAAATTATATTCGTTTASGTAATTTTCTTATTTATCTACCAACTCTTCTAATTTAAAATAATATTTCCCAGCTTTTTTTGCCTTACTGTTATTCAACATCATTATTAATTCTTTAAAATTTTTAATCATTTTGTATACTATATTCATATAAATTTCCTTTTCCATGTTTATAATCTATTTCTTCATATGTAATTTCGTTATCTTTTAAAAACTCTAAAAAWCTGCGCTTTTTATCCTTCAATAAATTCCATAAAATTCGTGGACGTAGTCCACTTWTGAGCCGAACAAGTTATTTGTGATTAATATTAACACAAAGTCATGGCACCCCTTAAGATTTTATTTTTAAAATGTAATTTCGGGCATTTATGGGTCTTTTCGACCAAAATAACTCAGCCTATCGGGTAGGGAATGTATTCAAATTTCATTTTTTATCTTTCTTAAGCGTCTGCATCATCAAACGAAGAACGCCTTCACATCTTAGTATAATAGAAGAATGTCAATCATTTAATTTATTTTTTATTATTTATTTATTATTTATTATTATCATTTATAAATATTACTGTTTTTTCCAAACTAAAAATTCTAAAATAATTGCTGTTTTTTCTCTTGAACCTACGTTGATATCTAGATTTTCATTCATTTTATGTAGACTTTTTATAGGTAGGTAGGTCTCATATTGCCTCGCATATTGCACTAGATCGCTTTTATTAGAAGTATTTTTCTTTTCGACAATTAATTAAATATACATATTTAATATCATTAAATTGATCACCTCCATATGTATGAAAATAACGTATTAACCTCGDAAAACTAGATTTTCTTAAAATTCGTTTGATGAATAAATTTTCTAATAAATGACAAGTCTTTTGTTCCATTTGTTTGGAATTAAAATGTCCAGATGATTTTTATAACTATAGAAATAAATATGAAAAAACATGTAAACAATGTAAAAAAGCAGTTAATTCTACTCGTTTATTATGTGATTGTGGTAGATATTACACTAGAACTAATTTTAAAAGGCATATAAAAACAGATTTGCATAAAAATGGWTTGAATTTATTTATTTACTAAAAATTGTTTGTTAGATTTTTTCCTATAATAAATGGAACGAAGGAACTTGAGTAATCTTCGTTTATCTGAGCTGTTTAATATTGCAAAATCATTAGACATCAAATATATTAGAAAATATAATAAAGCAGACTTAATAAAAGCTATTATTAAAGCTGAAGAGCAATTACATAAGGAAATAAAAAACGGAAAAAAATCAATTGTGTCTCCTTTGTGGAATTCGGACAAATTCCTTATGAGCGAAGCGAATTCAGAAATATTTTCATTTGATGATGATTT